TGGAGGTAAGAATATGGGCAATCAAGAGGAGATCAAAGCTGCCATGGGAATTGGTATTGGCAAGTTCCTATGAAATACCTAGGAATGCCAATTTCACCAACCTCTTGGTCAAAAAATGATTATCAAACCATGGTAGATAAAATCACAGCAAGGATCAAATGTTGGTCAACCAAACATTTATCCTATGCTGGGAAAACCTTGCTGGTGAACAATGTTCTATTGGCTTTAAACACATACGGTCAACTATTTTCTTGATCCCACAGTTTGTAATCCAAAAAAATAGTATCCTGTTGCAGAAGCTTTCTATGGGGAAAAAAGGAAAATGGATAGTCTTGGGCTCTGGTGACCTAGAATGAACTTTGCAGAAGCAAGAAAGAAGGGGGATTGAACATTAGAGAGCCAGGCATATGGAACAAAGCTCTCCTTGGCAAACAGGTGTGGGATATAGCTCAGTAGAAAGAAAGCTTTTGGGTGAAATGGTTTCATGTTTACTACATAAAAGGCAGAGAATGGTGGACTTACACACCCCCCAATGACAGTAGTTGGCATTGAAAAAAGGTGAATCAGATCAAAGAGAAGCTGAAAGTTGGAATAAATAACAATCACTGGATTCTAAATGGAGGAAGATATAGCCCTCAAACAAGATACTCTCTGCTTAGAGGAGAAGTCAATAAATGGAGAGTTTGCAAAGATCACATGGTGCTCCCTTGGAATTCCAAAGGACAACTTTATCAGTTGGCTTGCTTGGAAGAAAAGGCTGCTCACTATTGACAGACTGGTCAAAATAAACATTTAGGTGACTGATGATACTTGTGTGTTATGTAAAAATGAGAAAGAAATTGGGAAGCATCTGTTCTTCCAATGTAGTTACTCGTAGGAAATGTGGAAGGAGATAAAATCATGTGCTAGGGATGGTGACTGATCTGAAGCACCTGAATGTAGGCAAAATCATCCGAATTTGGAAATATTCCAGCATCAAGCAGCGCATTCTGTTTGCCTGTTTAAATTGACTTATATATTCAATATGGAGAGAAAGGAATAACAAAAAATTTGCAAGCCAAGAGGAGACAGCATTGATCAGAAGAAGGTTGCTGAAACAAGAGCTAATGCAGGATTGAGTATAGTAAAATGAAACTGTCTAGAAGCGAACTAGATTTTGTAAAGCAGTTGGGTGTAATGGCTTAGACAGCAAATTTCTATAAGGTGACATAACTGGCGATGTAAAGTGAAGGTGACCAATATAATTATTTACATTTGACCAAAAAAAATATATATATAAAGAGCTTCCTAGTTCTACACATTCCAAATCCTAGATTATAAGCAAGACTCTAAATAAAGAAAAATAAAACACCTAGCATTTCTTCTTAATAGCAAAACAAAACTCTAATTAAAAGTGAGACTCGAAAGTTACCTCCTAAACGACCTTTGAGATTCCAAGAATTCTCCCAAACTACCTTGAGCTTCTTTAAGTTTCCTAGAAAATTTTTAAACTACAACTTGGGAGTAGTCCTTCACTTGAAAGTGTCCATTCCCTTAGTTGATTTTGGTTTGCTCAAACTCACAATGAAACCCTCTATTTATAGGTGAGACTTTGGGGGTGAACTTGCCCCCCCTCCTACTACAAGATCCACAACTGTTCAAGTGCTCGTTACTATTCATAATTTGTTTTTACCTCTTCCCCTTTATTTTAATATTTTGTAACTATTCTACCTACTTCTTCTATATTATTTAATATTTTTTTACTAATCACACCTAAATTTTTCTTATTATTTTACTATTTTATTTCTATTTAGGATGATCTTTACTATTCTTACTTACCCCTTATTAGTTTAACATTATTTCCACTATTCATGGAAGTTTCTATTACTATTGTTATTATTTTTTTTTACTATATATTGATGTCTCTTACTATTTAATATTTATCAATGTTTCTTACTTCGTATTTTATCATTTGTTTTATTTTTTCATGAATCCCGCCTACTTTTTCCACCATCTATAATACAATTAATCTAATAGTATCAAAGGCTCTCTACTCTTCTTATTATTATTGTTATCCATATGGAACTATCATTTTAAAGTTGCACACACAACTTTAAAATCTTTTTATTTTAAATTCTTTGGGACAAATAAATATTGAAAATTTTCCAGGTATTACAAGAACGAACAGCACAGTCACACCCATAAAAATACATTGAAATTTCGGTTCTGGACTCAAAAATACATTGAAGTTTTGGTTTCAAGTGGAAATGTTAGAAAGTTGAAACTAGGTAGAAGCATGTCTAAAATTGTAGACTATATAATCTTAATAAAAGAAATAAGGTGTCTCGTTATTTAGAATTAAACGAAGAACCGGGCCGTATGGTATTTTACTCGCAAATTACAAATCGATTATCTAGAAAGCTAGCTGGAAGAGAAGGGGCTAGGATGGTCTTGTTTTTGTGGACAAGTTTGAGCGTTGTGTCTTCTTTGCTACATGACATCTTTCTTTGTTTAACTGTGGGCTTAAACTGTGTTACAAAACAAGGAAACGGAGTACACTTACCATTGTACCGTTTCATGGCTGCAAATTGCAATTTGAGGAACCCGACAAATCAAATATTGACAAAAATGTTAAGTTGGAGGGCCAGCAAGCAAACAAAATGTAAAATGCTCCAATAACCAGGAAGTTTTTTATTCATTTCACAAGGGAAACAAATACTACTATGCAATGAGTAAACTAAATGGTCCAGCAAATTTGCGGAAATATAAATTTTCATCCTCTTATAGTAATGAGTAATTAAAGTAAATGGCCAAATTTCCATCTCGACTGACGATCAATACATATAGATCAAGTCATCCTCTCGTCTTTTTAAAACAAAAGCTGAAACAAAATTGAATATTCTCAAATTTTCAAGTAACAAACATGTCATCGAATATGAGTAAAAACCTAGGCTTGTGTCAAAACATTCTGGCAGATGCATTTTATTTATTAGCACATTTGCAACATTCTTGTCAATTTTCTTATCAAATTTTTTCTGCAGATATTAACACTCTTTCAAATATTTGTTTATTTATTTATTTACCTAAAAGTACAGGAAATGAGGGAAATTGTAAAATTAAAATAGAGCTCACGAAGAGACCACTTCAGAGTTCCTGTATTTAATGGCACGAAGCCAACGTTAGTTTTTGGCAGTATTTGTCAGGAATTTGGACAAAAAGAAAAAAAAACAATATTCACCTAAAGTACAGGATGAGGAAAAGGACAATCTACCCAATAGAGATAAACAGTAGAAGCTAAGGTATCGATAAATTTTCGAGTAATTTGAGTCTTACCTCAATTTTTAAAATTTTGAGTAAAAACACTCACACCAGATGCTCCAATAACCTAGAAAGACCTCGAAAATTTCCCCGGGGGTTGGGTTTGGGGCGTAAGAACTGAAAAAAAATGTTATGAAGTCCTATAAATCTATATAATGCTCCAATTTAATCCCATAAATTTACATCAAAATCTTTCAGTTCACCTTATTTAGAAATAACCTTGTATTACTTCGCACTTCGCGTAATGGAATGGAATTCGGGGAGATTTCCATATGGTGACACTCAACAAAAACCAAAATATATCCAAGTGAAAAATGCTTGTTTCTTTTCTCGAGTGTATATCTCATTTGGAAGGGAATTTGGGGAGATTTCCATATGGTAAATCCCCAAAAGAAAAAAAAAGACAGAGAGAGAGAAGGTCTGTGAAGGTTTTTTTTTTTGTTTTATTTTTTTAAGGATAATAATTAGTGCAAGGAAAAATAACAAGAAATTAATTATATTCATTCATTTTTAAAACTTTTTATTTGAGGTTTAATCATTTAAGGTTAGAGCCTAGTTTTGATGAATGACACATCATTCCTTTTAAGTTTTCTTAATAATTTTTCCCTATTCTTATCAATATTTTTTTTAATATAAAGTGAGGTGGGATTTAGGAATTTTTAATTATTTTTTTCGGTAATGCTGAAGTGTATTGGAATTTTTCCTTTTAATTTCTTTTTTGGTCACCCTAGGAAGTGGGTGAATCACTTGTCGGATTTTTTTTTAACTTCAAGTTCCCATCTGTTTTTGTCCTTCATATTCAAAATTGTTTAAGTTCGTAACTTATTATGGATTTTTCAGCTCCAATTAGTCGTTTAATTCAATGCGTACCAGTGGGATTGATTCAGCTACAAGAAAAATCTTTTTTAAATGAACAAATAAGTTTTTGACGACATAAGGGTTGTTTTTTTAAAGAAAAAAAGACAATACCAGTGTTCTCTAATCTTAACCATAGATCAAGGGTTCGAACTTTGCCATGGGTATGGAGCAAATTTAAATACTTTATCTAGCTGTCCCACCCATTGAAGTGCCTACAATTCAACGAGGGCATTAGTCACTGTTGTCGACGGTAGACACCCTACAAATATATATATAAAAAAAAAAAACTACCAGTGGTTCCTAGCTTAAATGTGGAAAACGCTGTGAATGATAGAGAATTCATGGACCTTTAAGAGATTCACTTAGAGCTAGCCTTACCACCAACCTCGTTCCCAAAGGGTTTTTGCTAAATATGATATATAAAAATTAATGTAAAGTTTGTAACATATGTAATTTTTTGTGAATCAAATAAGGGCATGCATTTGTAATTAAAAAAAAAAAGAGGATTCTTAGGGGGAAAAAAAAAAGAAAAGAAAAGAAAAACAAGTTTGAGGGGCAGACTACCAAATTTTTTAAAATAAAGGATGATACCGGATGCAGACTTAGAGTTGAAGGACCGACAAACTGATTCACATAAAAATAAGTTTGGCTTTTTTGACCGTAGTACATATATGTATATTATATTGTATATAATTATGTATATATATAGATATACATATACACAAACACACACATATACCCCACTACCATATACATATATATGTATGTATGTATGTATGTATATATAAACTAGACAAAGGTCCATACTCCATACATAGTAGCCCAAAACATTTCCCATTTCATCTTACATTTCAAAAACCACTATGGAAGACCTCAAACAACCATCAAATGGAGAAGGCAGCAGGAACCCTAATAATCAGCCAATTCCATTATCATTACTTGGCCGAGAAACTTCAACAAATGTTGCTGAATCCACACCATCGCCTCCGGTGGCCCACCATCGTCGTGCCCAAGTAGTTGCTTGTGGCGGGAGGGAAGAATTGTACTATGATTTTTTTGAAAAGTTGAGAAATGTTGAACCTTTTTCCAATTTGCCGGCAGATCAAGCACGCGAGAGTGAGACCAAAACACCACAGCAAGTTTTGGAGAAGGCTCAATCCAGCAAGCATAAGCCCAAGTCCAACTTCCCAAGTCATGTCAGTTCTTCATCCTATCTCTCTTCCTCTCTCACGCGCGCGCGCACACACACTCTTTTCCTCTCTTTATTATTTTTATTTTTATTATTTTGCTTCAAATTCAAAGATGAAACTGATTACTTTTTAGAGTAATAACATGGGGGTAATCGTCCAATAAACACTAGAGACTAGAGAGTACAGGGCTTTGCTATTAAAATTTAACTACTGCAAATAAAGGAAGGTTTTTTTTTTTTTTTTAAATGTCCCAAACCAGAAATTTCAATGAATTTGTGTATATGAGACTCTGTTGCTCCTTCTTAGATTATGTTCATGGTTTCTTGATTGCCAGATATTGTCAAAAAGGAATTTGATTTTTTTTTTTTTTGGTAATTGTTTTGTTTTGTTTATTGATTTCAGCTCTCGTAAAAAACGTGATTTTCATCATTTTATTAGGAGCTTATGAACTTGTGATTAACGGAGAATTCGTACTTGGATATACTCTACTGCGCACTGTCGATGAATTTTTCTTCCATCATTATTTATTTTATTTTTTTTTTGGTCAAAACGACTTGTTACACACACATACACAGATCTACTTTCAATTATTATAATGTCGGAAATTCAACCAATTAGCCTCTCGTATTTGATTCTATCCGCAACATGATTAATGTTACATATTTGGCCTCATCCTAAGTGTTGTTGCAGCGTTGACGTCGACAAGTATCCACATGCAACGTACTTTTAATATAGATACAAAATTTCTTTCTGTTAAATGTTACATCCGCCTTTCCTCGTAAATTGATATAAATAGTCTTAATTCTTAGATATCTCAACCAAGGACGTATTCTATGACGCCAGTTTTTAATTTTTACTGCCTCTACTTTTATTATACCCGTTTTAAGTTTTTCTTATTCTTTACCGTAAACGCTTTTGGTGTTAGATATATTTCCACTACTATTTAAATATTTGGTACGAGTTAAATTATATAAAGTGTCAAATATATGTAACTTAAAAAAGGTCAAGTGTCAGATCATATCTGAATTTTTACTTTTTACGTACACCACCTATGTAGGATGACGGGAATGCAGGAAGGAGGCATTCCAATAGACACAAGGATGGAGACAACATTTCGTCCAGTAGTTCATCTTATTCCTCAGCATCGAATGATACAGTGGAGAAGGTACGCTCATATGTTCAGGCCCGGTCCAAACTTTTTAGGGGTCCTAGTGCAAATAATTAAAATGGACCCTAATAAATTAAATATAGTCCACTTTTTTAATATGGGTTTAAAAAATTTAATTAAAATGAGTCTAAAAGTTATTAATCACTTAAAGCTCACTATACTTTTGATATAAAATAAATTTTTAACTCATATATTCTGTTTTTGAATTATGATAAAATTTGAGCCTTATATATTAAATATAAACTTACACAAAACAATAACAAATTTGGGGCCTTTTTTTTTTCTTGGGGGACCCTGCAGATGTTTGATTAAGAGGGATGTGAAATAGTAAAATAAGATAGTAAATGCAAAATAGCTAACTCATCTTAACGTATAATTGTGTCATTGTACATTTTAATTATTATTTTCTTTGTCTAAAAAAAAAATTATATTGAGTTCTATAGATTGTATTATCTTAACATATAATTGTGTCTTTGTACAATTTATTACTCACTCTCTCGCAAAAAAATAGTTCGAGTCGAATTTTAAAATCTCTACTTTTTAATGTGAATTATGATTTTAATTATGATAAAGGGAGTACATCCTATTGTTTCATTTCTCATGGTTATATCTGTTCTAAAGAAACGTTATGTTTGGATTATTCTTCCATGACTTCGATCATATACTACCTCTATTTTCCTTTTGTATGTCACTTTAAGCTCAGCCCAACTATTGATTTTTTTGTTTGCCGCATTTCATTTCTAATATAATATTAAGCAAATTTTTTTCACTTTCACATCTCTCAATACTTTTTATAACACATTTTAATGACAGTTACCTAGTTTCTTACTTCAATTTCAAAATTTTGTATGGTGTCAATTGTTTTAATTAGGGGTAAGAAAAATAATACACTTGAAAAATTAAAACCTCAATAATTATTTTCTTAATACCTGTGCAAACTCTAAAACGACATATAAAGAAAATAGAGGTACCATATGCCATCAATCCGAATACCTTATACTCCATTTGTTCCAAAAAGAAAGTTCACATTCATTTTGAGATTTATATTATTTTTAATATAAATTTTAAAATTTAATGTGAACTATTTTTCTGAGAGAGAAAATAAATCGGGTTTACTTATTAGTAAGGGATGGATAACTTTGTTATGCTATGTTATTTTGATGCACACGACTGATTTGTAGACGAAAGCAGTGTTTGTTATGTTCTTTTTCGCATCTCTACTAAGTTTGTATATTTGTCATGTGAGCTACTGTTCCACAGGCAACTAGAGCACGAATCAGGAGAAAGATAAAAGCTCTTCAAGAATTAGTTCCCAACTCGAACACGGTAATAAAATACTCATCTTTCTTTATGTGTAGTAAATTATTTTTGTTAAATCCAGTTCCTTGTACTTTGAGACAGAATGCAGTATTAGTATTGACATGATTTCGTATTGGTAGAGGGACGAGGCCTCCATTCTTAGTGATGCAATAAACCACATAATAAGCTTGCAAAACCAACTTAAGGTAATTAATTATTTTTTGCTAATCGTAATTCCGTTAGCCCACATACATGTAAGTAAAATGATATGAAACTAATTGATATGTTTGTTGTAACTTTTATTCCAGATGCTATGTAACGGAGCAGGACCTTACATCCAACCATCAAATATGATACCATCAGCTGGCTACCAAATGATGCCGATTCCGGGAATGAATCCTCAATTTATGTCAATGAATCCAATGGGATTCGGATTGGGAATAGATATGGGTATGGGATTGTTTAATTTTAATTACACACCTCCTTTCGCCATGCCATTTCCTTATCCCCAACCACAAGCAAATCTACCTGATGAATCGCCGGCGGCCTTAGAAATGAATGTGGCCGTAATGGCTCCGTTCAATAATGTCCGATCACGGGCGCCTTTGCCGGCTTCCGATTTCATGGTGGTACCTGGGGATCATTGCAGGAAGTGTTGCCCCAAGTAGAAATGCTTGGTGAAATAAGGCTATAAACTTGGTGTGTGACTGTGTTGTGTTTGTTGTCTGTTGTTTTCCATTTTTTGTTTTGGTGGTCCTTTTGGGGGTTTTGGACTGTTCCCTAAGTTGCTTTGAGACGAGAGTTCTGTTTGTTTGTTCGTTATGTTTTGTTGTTTTTTCCTTAAGTAGTTCACTTTAATTTGATTCTTCTTCTATTGTAGATCTTTCAAACCAAAAAAAGCTTATAGTGATAATAAATCAGTTACGTGCAACTTTAACCATAATAATACATCAATCGAGCATGTCCGATTAGTAGGCCAAGTAATTGACTTAGACCGAATACCTTATTTTGAACTGGTATCCGGATTGTTACTATTTCAATTTGAGAATGAATAATTAGTCGATCTCAATATTTTACAAAGAGATCAAGATTCAAGTCTGATACAATTTATTTTTCGAAGAAAAAATGTGCATCAATAAAAATAGATACACAAGTCATCACTACTTATAATAATAATAATATTTATAGAGTGAAATTAAATTTTGATGAGTGAGTGCATAATTAGATACATTATTGTCCCGTTACAACACGCATATATTGTGATTTGGACGATTTCTTTCATTTATCATTCTATTTCAGTACTACTTGGTATCATCATTACACATCGCTATATATCTATTTCCACACAAAGGTTTTCAAAGAGGAATTAAGACCCAAATTCATTGTAGACGGTCCAGAGACCTCCTTAATCTTTTTCTATTCCCGTGATTCAACAAAAATAATAATAATAAAGGAGAAAAACCGTCGCATTGTTTCGAGAAATCTGTAGCATCCAAAGACTGTGATTTAAATTATAAATGCCAAATGTAAAAGGTAGAAATGCCAGAGAAGTCAGTAAGCAGAAAAAGAAGATGACAAATATAATTAGTACTTCCTCCGGTCCATATTATAAGTTATTTTAATTTTGTCATAAATTTCACTTAAAATGTCTTTTTAATTTGAATAAAAATCTTAAAAATATTTTCTAATAAGTAAGAGAACACAGTGAATGTAAAAATATATTTTTAAATTTTTTGTGCAATTAAAAAGACATCTTAAATAAAACATATGACGAAATCAAAATTCATTATAATAAGAACGGGAGGGAGTACATCATAAAATTAAAATAAATTACTATAATATTTGGGATGAAAATGTTGGGAGGAAACGATACGACTGCTAGATCAAAATTACAAGGTAAGAAGTTTAAATAATAAGAAAACAACTTAAAAAGAACAAGAGATATTCAAGTATTGTCGTAAGTTGCAGTTTCATTTATTCTGCATACTAACACAGAAATATTACTCCCTCCGTCCCATAAAAATAGTCCAATTTCAAATTATACAACTTTTTTAATTTAGTCAAATTCATAAATGTACAACTCATTTTATCTCATAAACTTCCGTTCTTACCCCGTATGAAAATTGATTTAAAACAGCGGCAGCGGCAAATTTCCAATGCACCCGCACTACTCCGAGTCTCCGACTGCCACTTCGCACCATTTTGTTCCCTGAATTATCCGAACTCCACCGCCTCTTCTCACAGCCACAGGAATACTGATTTATTCATCACCGCCAGATCTCGAATTCCGGCCAATTTTCTGATGCCATGCCGCTGGAAGAAATACTCACCAAATCGCTGCTTGACAAGCCTCTCAACACTGATATAAACGGCATATACAGAGAGATCAGAGTAGTGCGATGTAGACGGCATACCCAGAAAGATCAGAGTTGTTTCAGATGCATCGATGGCAATTTTAAATCTGCACATGGAAAACCTAAAAAGGATCGGTATAAATGCGTTACTAGGTGTTAGACCCGTCCGATGGACGAGGAAGGCATACACATTTAAACATTTTTACATAAATTTTGTATTTTTATAAATTATGTAATGACTTCAGTTTTAAACATGATTATCTCTGGATTTACAGGAATTTATTTTTTTTAAATGACATTTTAAATTCACTGGTAATAAGGTTTATGCAGATCTCTCTAAAATTTGTTAGGTATGGTTAGGCTATTTAATTATAAAATGGGACGAATATAGTACTAATATTTAATCAGTAATTATGTGTGGATGAATGGATTGACGATGCACAGGTTTACAAGTGTTGTAGTATGGTGTAACCCCAACTATGTCAGACTGTGTTGAGTGATTATCATGGACGCCAGGGTCGAGGCTCAATTGTACAGGAATTTGTTTTTTTTGAATGACATTTTAAATTTTAGTTGTTTTTTTTTGTTTTATTATTTTGTTTTGTGCATTTTAAGAAATTAAGAAAATGTCACATAGATGGCATGTGCTTCATGCCTTTAGTTTTCTCTCTCTGATTTTTGCCTTAGTATAGTATATAAAATATAGTATATAAAAGATAGATAGATTAGAGCAATAACAAAGAACGGTATGCGGCGGGTTTGGGTTGTAGAATTCTTTGAAGAGCGAACAAAATCAAATCTGGGGTGAATTTGATTGAGTAGTGAAGATGATTCTGGGAGGAATAAAAAAACAAAGAAGAAAAGAAAAAAGAACTAACGATTATCTTTGCCCAAATAGAAAAGAGGTAGAGTGAGAAGATATTCATCAAATGGGCAGTTAAGTCATTTTATCTTTTTAATTTTGATTTTTTTGAATCTGGACTATTTTTTTGCGGACAAATCTTTTTATGAAATTGGACTATTTTTGTGAGACGGAGGAAGTATATTTTTTCTGTCTGAAGAAAAAAAATTCACATTAAATGTTAAGGTTATGAATAAAAATAATTATCCCACGTTTGTATCTATGAGCTACAGATAGTAATATATGAGTAAGTACAAAAACCTATTACCTTGAAATTTTATGTTGAGATGGGTTTCTAGTTAATTATTGAAGTAGATATTAAAACCCTGTGACCCTCATCTGTCGAATCAAAAATATAATTTTACACTAAATATTAGCACATAAAAAAATAATGGACTTACTAAATATAGCACCATAGTGCCTAGATAGAAGACTAAAAAATCCTATAATTGTTATCATTTAAAACAAAAAAGGATAATCGCGGCAAAAGTAATCACTACTCTCGTAATAATAACAATAATCCTATAATAAAAACTTTTAATTGTTTCTCTAGTTTACTCGTACTCCGGGTTCACAAAGAGTCAGTCACCGCAAAATAGGTATTAACTATAGTTCTTTTTGCCCTTTCTCTTCCTCCCGCAAAATTTGTACCTTCCCCTTCCCCCAAACTGTAACCTTTTTCTTTTTTGTTGTCTTTTTATTTTTTGTATTTTTGATTTAGAATCGCAAAATGTAACTGGCTGCATAAGCAAGTTAAATGCTGCACTGAAATATTTCTAACTTGGCATGTGTTTGCGTGGTGTGTGAACTTGACTTACCATGTGTGTTGATGCATGCGGGGCAGGTGGTCAAGCAAGCTGCTTGCCAAGGCAAGTCCCATGCAAGTCCTGATTTCAAACTTGGCACTGGTTCGTGGAAGGGAGTACATTATACTTTTGTGCTCGCCAAACATGTAAACACAAACTCTTTTTAGTTCAAATATTAAATTTCATATTTGATGATCAATTGTTCCATTTCAAATTAAAAGTTTATATTTATTATGTTTGTTGAGGTAAAGCTAGAAACTTTTATAAAATTATTCCAATTTGAATAATGTATAACAACTATTTTTAGAAAGAATATTTTGAATTTCCTTGAACCAGAATAAGAAATTTAACCACTAAAAATACTTTAAAATGTTGAAGAAAATTAAAAATAAAATAAAACACAAGAGCTTAAAGATCTGGTCTGAAAATGTGCGAGAAGGGAAGTAGGTGGGAGCTACGTGGGTGCACTTTTGAGTAGCTGGTAGCTCAAAAAAATTATTTTGTTGTTGGAGATAAGGAGCATAGCGATTCCAAATCGAAAGTAGACTACATATTACGATATTTGTGTTGGGGGGTGGGGGGAATCTACGGAGTGGAAACAAAGTGCCTTCTTCCAAAGCCAAATATAAACGGCACCGCTTCGGTCAGCATATTGGTGAAACACGGAGGAACTGTGCAAATCGTTAATGGTGATTGTACAATTAATATATAGAGCATCCGGAGTTCTATAATTAGGGATCGCCTAATTTACACCGCACGCGCCCATAACAGCCTACTTGTACCCATCTTCCTGCAAATTACAAAAATGCCATTGCTTCCGTTGGAAAAATATAAATAGTCACGATTTTTTAAAAAAAAAAATAAAAAAACCTCACAATCCGTCTATTTCTCCCAAAAATCCTCAGGCGATTTTTGGTTCCAAATCCACGGTGTAACTTCCTGCGGCGAGTTTCCTCCTAAATCCTCGAGTTTCCGTTCGCTAAATCTGCTAGAAACGTCTCTCCGGTCATTTAAAAGTGCACTTCACACCTTCGTCTGGTGAATTTTGTACGGAGATTTCAAAATTTCCGTTAGGCGAATCTTCCGATGGTGAAAAACACAAAATCAAGCACGCGATTATCAGAGTAAGTATCCTATTTTTCCGAAATGAACATTTCTTTTCTCAGAACTGGATTTTTTTTATGAATTAGGGTTTTGAAATTCCTTGATGTTCATATTTAATCTAGATATAGAGACTCACGCCCGAAGGATGAGAATCAGAGCAGCAATAATTGTTATGCCAGAGACTACAGCAGAGCCTAGCCCAGCGTCGTCATCAGGCTCAAGCTTAGATGACAGGTATTGTTCATCCTAAGTAAATTCTTCTGGATTTAAACGTTGTTGTATTGTTTGTGTGGTTGTTCATCCTGTATGATTAGATGCTTATCTTGACAGAGAATGTTAGGTTGTTCATCCTATATGCTGTAATACTCATCCTGTATGCTTTGATGCTCATCCTGTATGCTTTATTGTTCATTCTGAGTAAATTCTTCTGGATTTAAATGTTGTTGTATTGCTTGTGTGGTTGTTCATCTTTATGCTTTGATGCTCATCTTGTATGATTGGATGCTTATCTTGACAGAGAATGTTAGGTTGTTTATCATGTATCCTGTAATGCTCATCCTGTATGAGTTACTGCTCATCCTGTGAAA